TTTAGTGTTGTGTACTCCTGAATTGCAAGGAAGATGCAGAAAGCAGCTATTAGCTGATTGTTTATTTTAAGAGCCGAGTAGAAAATTAAGAAAGTTATCTTGTTGAACAAATTGTTTATAAAATGAAAAGCTGAAGGAATGTGTTTACATGTCTGTGTGTGTATATATATATATATATATATATATATTCTAAGTAAAATATTTGCAGTATACGCTATAAGTGACTAGGAAAGTAATCCTGATCTGTTTCCTAACCTTTTCAGATGTAGCAGAAACCAGAGGTGGACATTGGAACACAGATAGAATATCAGATGGAGACCAGTGTTTAAATGTTGACCTTTGATGAGCTATTGAATGTTTTATTTTATTGTCTATTTAACATGTCTATGCTATGATTTTGTGCATACTATTCTCTTATTTCTAGTGATTGTATTGCAATTGAAACCCTTATGTATTATTGTTGTATGTATGTATGTATGTATGCTTGCCTGGGAAAGGGGGGAATTGACCCATAGGGACCAGGGGGTATTTTTGTGTAAACCAAACTGGGGTGGGAGGGCTCTAACGAGGGAACCCCATTGTCCAGTAGGTGCTTGATTTGTGTCTGTGTAAAGTGCATGAGTGGTTGCAGTTAAAAAACGGAAGAATGATAAGAGGGATAAGAGAAAGTAGGCATTTTGGGTTATCTATACATGTTTAAATAGAAGGGTGGTAAATAGGAATGTAATTGTTTTGGTTAATGTTTAGATTAAATTGGTTAAATACAGCAGTGATAACGAGTGTTTAGATTAAATTGGTAAATGCAGCAGTAATAACGAGTGTTTGGGTTAAATTGGTAGATACAGCAGTGATATTGTGTTTATCTGTGAATCAGGAGTGTGCTGGATGTGAAGAGAGGTGTGTAGGTATTTATCCAAACGCCATAGGAAAAAATATGGTTAAGACACCACAATCAAATGGTACTTGTGATGATTGGCACAGTTATTATTTATGTTTGTGTTCGTCATTGCCTGTGTTTTCATTCAAGAACTTTCAAGCAAGGATATTTTAAGCTGAAGAAGAAGAAGCACTGGACACTATGCTCAATTGTTGCTGTAAGGAGAAAAAATATTGCAGCTAAGAGTGGTGAGAGTCGGAACAAATGCATCAGGAGCAGGACACTGTTACGTCAAGGTGGTTAATGGTATAAAGAAAGAAGAAACAAAACAATGTGACCACAAACACACAAAAGTCCTTGATCATGAACTGTTTCATTCATCCCTGTCTCCATGCTTATGTTCTATGAGACTGTCGAAGAACAGAGTATCCAGTTTCCAGGACTAATGTTTGTGAAAATTCCAGGCACACAGACCAGCCAGAGGCTACAGAAATCGAGTCGGTCTGTGCCATGATTCATAGGTGTTATGAGATTGTGGTGTCTAATACTATATTAAGCTCCAAAACACATCCTCACATGAACACAATATGATTGGTTAATCTAATAAAACATGGTTTGAGTTGCCTATTATTACAAGGGTGGGTATTTGCCTATTTAAGGCCAAGGTTTCCCAAATGCTAATGCATGTGCTCAGTGGTTATTATAAGGGTGGGTATGTGCTTATTTTAGGCCAAGGTTTCCCAACTGGTGATGCATGTGCTCAATGAAAAAAAATTTAAAAAAAAAATTGAATAAGCAATAAAGTGTCATAACTTTACGGGTAAATGGGTATCATTCTTCAAAAGGTGGGTTTTGTTGTAGGGCAGGTACTGTTAAAATAGGGTAGATTCAAGATGTATGGGTTTATAATGTTTGTTTTATGACATAAGTCAAAGGGTGGTTTGTAATGGTATTTATTAATTAATGAGCTTAATGCTTTAGACGCACCACTAGATGTCAGTAAAGCATATTTAGTGTAATGCTTTGGGGGCACCACTAGGGGGTGTGTGTAGGAAGACCTGTGCTTCTGGCAGTGACATCACAGGCCAGCCTACTTACACTGAATAAAACCCAGATGGGAGGAGAAGCTAGCTCTCTGTTTGCCTGTACCTGACTGATCATGTAGCACCAGCTCTGACTTAACCCCAGCCCTTTGGCTGGGGCCTTGTAAGTAATATGTTTGTATTGTAACAGTTAGCAATTGTAATAGCCTTTTGTATAATATTTAGCAACCAATAGTGTTTTGTGTAGTATTGTATTGTATAATTATTGAAATTGACATTCCGCTAGCATCTGTTTATTTATTATAGTTATATTAAATATACATTTAATATTACAACGTTTTGTGTATTTTCTATCCACATATTCGACCATAATACCATGAATTATAAAAATATTAATGTTGTTCTGTATTGCTTAATTATGTATTAAGAGATTAATATTCATATTTAGGTCACGACCACAACAACCACTGATACTGCAACATTTCTTGTTTTATCTCATTGAAACTTGCAAGCATGTCTTGTTTCAATATATTTAATTGTAATTCCCACATTTGCTTAAATTGATC